AAAAAGTGACTTTTAACCATTTCTCACAGTTGCGACCTTTGCAGCATCCCCATGATCATAGGATCAGAATTCAGACGCTTGGCAACTGGTTCGTATTTATGACCGTTGCTGTGTCCCAAGGTCATTTTGCGACCTTCTGACAAGCAAAGTCAATGGAGAAGCCAGATTCACTTACCAACCGGGTTACTAACTTATCAATTGCAGCGATTCACTTAACAACTGAAGCAAGAAAGGTTATCGAAAGGGGCAAAACTCACTTAACAAATGTCTCACTTAATAACAGAAATTTGGGGCTCAGTTGTGATTGTTAAGTGAAGGACTATCTGTATTTGTTCTAATTCAGCTGACCAGCTCTTGGGAAAAAAGAGCACTTAATACAATAGGTCAGAATTCTGTAGTTCACACTTAATGATTGTTGCAGCATCCCCACAGTCACATGACCAAACGTTGGTTTGTATTCATGATGGTTGCAGGGTCCCCTGCTCCCGGGTTGTCATATGGAACCTTCCTAGGGACTCCCGACAAGCAGAGTCAATGGGGGGAGTCAGTTTTGCTTAACAATCACACGTTTCAGTTAACTAGTGATTTGCTTAACAATAGTGGGAAAAGGTCATAAAATGGGGCACAACTCATTTAGCAAAGAAACTCTTGCTTAGCAAAGACATTTTTGGGCTCAATTGTGGTCATAATTCTACCTGTATTATCAGCTTAACGATAAAGCCTGTCCCCAAATTAATGGATAACCTTCCCAATAGCCTCATAGTCTCAAATAGATGTTAAAGAGGAGTGACACTATGGGGGGGGGGGGTGTCAAGGGCTTCTGAGTGGGACCTCTCCCCTCCTATCGGCATTGAACCAACTGCACAGAAAGGAGAATGGTCACAATACTGTGCCTACCCACCCATTCATAACAACCTATAGTATAGCCAATTCAGAGTGATACCCCAATCAGTGACAATGAAAACCACCAAAGCATCTAGGAGAGCCAGAGCAATTGCACCACCCGCTTCCTGGCTCTAACAAAGATCATTGTTGTGTGTGATTTACTTCAATAAAATAATTAAAAAAGAAAACAACCAAAAAACGTGGCAGTTTCCAGTAGTGTAAAAAATATTAAGAGGGAATATTAGAGAGGGGGGAGGGAATTATTATATACTGTATCTACCAAGGCTACTTCTATGTACATCATATGAACAAAGCCAGGATCCCCAGAGGCCAAGGAGATCAGCTAATGAAATGAGGACGGTGGGAAGTAAGGAAGGTGGGGTGTATGGTCATGTGGACAAAACAAAAAGCTCTGCAATGTGCAAGCAACAATAGTAGTCATATATCCCACCCGAATGCCACATTACAAGCATAACCGATGTTCGGGTGCCCCAAGTTTCACTCTCCTTTCGTCTTCCTTTTGTGTATTCAAGCAGATGCGATCAGGTGCGCGGCTCCCCCTGGGAAACACCGAGTAACCTTTTTCTCCAAGCAGAGAAGGGTGGAGGTGGGGGAATGAGCAACAACACCCGGCGGCCCATCTGCACGTCTGAGCGGCTGTTCTTCGAGGCTGGATCGCTGCCAGGGTCTGTCCTTCCGCAGCTAACCTTTACCCTTTCGCGAAGCGGCGGTGCTTGCTTTTTCCCTTGACTTGCTTTTTGCTCGTTTGCACTCCCCCCCCACCCTCCTGCTCTGCTCCCAGCAATGCTCCAGCCCGGGTCACTGCACCTTTAACGCCTTGCACATTTTCTGCTGTGTACAAACACCAAAGTCTAGACGGAAAGTTAGTAACTCTGGGCCCTATTTAAGGTGGACTGGATAAGGGTTGCTAGCCAGCAGTGTGGAAGTGCCGGGCTGCCTTGGCACCAAACGGTACTGGCCAAGTAGACTCCGAATCCAAGCAAAATCTCCCTCGGGGCCCCAATGGTGCTGTGGTCAGAGGATTGAAGCAGAGTCTCTGGGTGGTGCAACCTGCGAAGCCTCACCTGTTAAGGATGACTGGGCCACCTTAAGGAGCAGTTGTTGGTACTGTGAAGTGGGAGGTTGTTAGCGAGCACATGGGGATTTTAAAGCAGCCTGGTGTTGCCTTTAGCTAGGCTGGTCTCTTGGGGGCAAGAGACGCGGGACCCCTTCCTTGACCAGTTTCCTCACTTGCAGAAAGTTTGTTGCTCTTGTTGTATACAATGAGCATCTGCTGGCATCCCTCCACTTTTGTCCTGAAGAAATCTGGTGGGTCAGGATAGTGAAACATCTTAAGAATTCTTGCCAGCGACATCAGCCTGTGCCAGCATCATCTCATACTGTGTTTGAATGTGTGCTGCAGAGCAGGTACCCATTCTTTTTAAAAACCACTTTCTCTTTAAGAGCAGAATCTGCAGTTTGCGGAGAACTTTATTGTGTCTTCTTATAACAGCACTGAGAGGATATCCTTAGCGAAGTAAGGAAAAGTTCTGAATGTAGTTTTCTAAGCAAGCATGAAAAGTAATTCTGAGTATTTGCATTCCTCCAAAATACCTTATTATCCATCTCCCTTTAATGTTCTGTCCCACAGGCTACTATATTAATCCCAAGGGAAAAAAAGGAGGGGGTTTGCGTTCACTGGCTAAACAATTGTTGTTTTTAAATGGAAAGGTCACCCTTTGGTCAAGCTTCTCAATTTCTCAGTGCTGATATCAGGTCTCTTTTCTGTGGTCAATCAGCTGGATTTTGCTTAGAGAAGACACTTCCAGATAGACAGCAATTATGTATCTGAACCACAGCTTTTGGGGCTAAGACATAGATGTATTTTTTAATAAGGTTGCTTTCCTGCATTTGATAGCTTGAGTCTTTTGGGGATTACTAATGATTTGATTTTCTGCAGAATACAGTCTCTAAGCCTTGATAAAATTGGGCCTGCCTGTTTCCAACAGTTGGTAAATAGCCTCCATTGCTGCCCAAATTTCTCAGATTAAAAAGAAAATGTTACAATTTAGCAGCACTAATGACTCAATTAGGCTCACATGAGAGAGACCATGAGCTAAGTTTGTTTTTCTTTGCAAGAAAAAAGGGAGAGGAAATGCTTAGAAATTCTGTGCTAATTTCTTTGTGATGTAGAATTTATTTTGCTACCTTGCAAATTTCCCTATTCCCCTGTATTAAATAAGGCTTTTAGTCAGAAATGGTACTATGCTAAGATTGTACCCACCCCCCTTTCCAGATATTTTATAAATTGTATTGTGTATTTAACATGAGCTGTATCTTACATCTGGATGCTTTTTATTTGCATGCATTTCAAATGAGCAAGCAGGCTTCCTCTACTAATAATAATATTGGAAAAAGTGAGGAACATTTTAAATTGTATGTAAACAAAGATGAACACACACTCTTTTAATATATTAATTGGTATATTTTGTTGAGCTTGGGGACAGGCTATGTTAAACATCCACTTATGAGAAGTGCAATATTATTAAGATTCCCAGAAAAGATTGTAAAATAAAAGTTTTCCTTTTTTGGTACAGGTACCCTTTCATTTCTGAGTCAGTTGCAATGTGGCCGAGTGAGACAGCCATTATAAGATGCTTCTCTATGTTGCTCCAATTAGTAATTAATGGACTTTCTCAGAGAACTATATTTCTAAACCTTTTGACAAGTCTGTTCCTTTTTTTGCCTACCAGAAAGTTTTTGCTCCCTCTCTACTCCCAGTGAGTTTCATGCACTTATCAATGACATCCATTTATTCTGTCTGTCTCACCTTTGGGTTATCAGATTTTAGCATTAGTAGGCAAAAAAAGGGAATAAGAACTTTTGACAATGTGTAACTATTTTGATTTATTTTCAATTTTCCCAAGCAGAACTTCTCTTTGAACTCCTGTAGAATGTTATTTTCTTAGTGTTGCTGAAATCCATTATCTTCACTGTAATACTTCAGAACTTCAGTGAAAATGGCTGACTGGAAGGTAATTTGTCCAGAGTGGGAACAGCAGACTCTAATTTCTTACTATTTCCTTCACTCCAAATTGGAATTCATCTTAAGAGGACAGGAAGAAAGCATCACTCTGCTCTGCAATTGCATTACAAATATTAATATGCACATAGTATCTTGCTCATGGATTACAAATTGTGGAGCTTTTCTTGGATGGCAAATGAGTAGAAATATTCAAGTATTGAGTATGACACAGATAAAATTATGAGCTCTGTTAGCCTTTAGTAGAGGTGTTAGAACTTAACTTCAGAAGTTGCAGGTTGCTGGAACAGGATGCTGAGGCTGAGTGCTTTTTCATGAGAAATAAATCCAATTCAACTATTAGATTGTGATAGGCTATCTTACAGTGTTTATCCCCTCCATAGGGGAACAGTTATTATTCTTTCTAGGATTCTTCTAATCACCCGACCTTAAACATATTATAGAACTTTTATTATTAATTTTCATGGCGGCAAGTGTGCATTTGAGAGTTTTGCAGAAACTTTTTGCAAAATTCCAAGTATTACAATTTTATGTTCCATGGACTGTTCCTCTCTCCTCCCCAAATTTAGTTTTCGAGGCGCTTTAAATTCTCTTTGCCCGAGGCTATCACTTATAATAAGGGTGGAGTTTCTTGTGCGAGGGGTAGTATTTTATTTTTAGGAGTGTTCACAATATATACGAGAAAATATTCTTATAATATAGAGAGTAATCACTGGGTGAAGAGGACGCCTACCTAGGGCAGAATAGACTGACCATATCGGGAAGTGAAATACACGCAAGCCTAGGCCTTACGAAGAGGGAGGAGGAAACGAGAGGAACCAACGTGTATCTGTAAGAGAGGTACTACAACAACCTTCCCGCAAGCTCTTTTTGTTCTTCAAACTAATCCCTGCCGCTCCTCGGAGCGCGTCCCTCGCCCCCTCCCACCGCAGGCTCTCGTCCACTTTAAGGCAAGGGGCGTGGCTCGGCTTGTAGGTCTCGCGCGGCTTGGAGGCGGTGCTGTCGCGAGCTTCAAGCCGGGCGCCGATTGGTTGCGGCGGGTTGAATGTAAGATGGCGCCCAGGGAGCTGTGAGGGGAAAAAAAGACGCGGGGCCTGAGGTGGTGACGGCGCGAGGCGACAGAGGGGCCGGGGTGAGGCGGAGCTGAACTCAGTTGGGGGTGGCCGAGCCTTCTTTACGGGAGCGGGAGGCGCGGTATTCCGGAGGGAAACGCAACATTTGGATTGGTGAAAGGCGGAGAGGGGGGGGGGACGAGGGAGGACGGGAGGAGGTGGCGGCGGTAGCGGCATAGGAGGAGGAGGGGGGGGAGGGGGAAGCGGGCACGGGAGCGCGCTCCCGCGAGCCCGGCCCCGGCTGTTGTGTGGCGCCGCTAGCGCGTGCCCGCCTGGAGATTGGCGGCTGGCAGGGCGGGATCCGCTTGAGGCCTGCGCCGTTTCCCCGGGCAGGGCCCCGCCTCGAGTTCCCAAGCCTTCCTCCGCGCCCCCGCCCACTGGCACCCAAGGTGGGGAGGGCCTTCTCGCCGCCTGTGACCCTCTGGGGAAGCCGTGGAGAGTTACCGACGCGCGAGTGGGCGCGAATTTCTCTCGCCCGGGCGCCGACGCCGGAGCAGCGGCAGGAAGAGGCGAAGTTCCAGGATGAGGCCGGTAGGCCCTGGTGCTGCAGAACCCCGGGGAGGCGGGGGTGAGCCTCGTGGTGCCGTGCCGGCTGCTGCCAATTTCCTTGCCCGCCGGTCATCGCGCAGAGTGCGTCTCTCCACCCTTGGCCTGGAGGCTGCAGTAAGGAAGGCGAGGCGGACCAAGGCGGGGCCCCTGAGGTCCGGGCCTTGTTCAAGGACCAATAGTATTTGTCAGGAACTTTAAAGTGCTGTATTAAATATTATACAATGAGCTATTTGTGTTACGGAAAGCTTCAAATAAGCAAGTGGGATTCTCAACATCTAATTAACTTTTCTCTCGGTCCAAAAACATTTGCTCCAGGTTTCAAAATATTATTGTCTCGTTTAATTAGCTATAGCCTACTAGTTGCAGTATTTTCAGTAACTTAATTTGGGCCTGGAGAGGATATATAAAGTCGCTGAGAGTGAAGACCAACTTTATGAGGGCACTATTTTGTTTATTATGTGCAACGATAATAGACACGTGAAAGAACCTGCTGAAGGTTTTTGCTTGTTTCAGTCTGTATCTTTGGCATTCCCCCCTCCTGTGTAACTTTGAAGAGGAAATAGATGTGTTGGTGCTCAATTTTATAAAGGGCCAACTTAATTGAAGTTTTATCCTGTCAGCCCTTTGATTAGATTCAGAGGGTAAGATATATATGGTGCACAATGCACTATAGTACACAAACACTGTGCCAGCTTGCCTTACACCTTGTTTCACAAAATGCCTTGGCAAATGAATTAGATAAGGAGTTGGCTCAGATGGACCTGCGACCTGTTTTAGTTATCTAATTAGATTACTATAAGAGCAGTACTGTAGAAAGTACTATGGTATATTATTGTTGGCTTATTCAAAGCTCCGGAAATCTTGCAATTTAATATATAATTGTGTAAAGCAATATAGCCATATAGTATTTTATATTGTTGAAGTAAAGTCAGATTGCATAGGTTTCTCAAGCTTTGAGAACTCATCCAGATACTGAGTGGACCTATTTATTTCTACAGAATGATTTTACTATATTTTACTACATTTCCTCGCAAAGACCATGACTTTGGATATATTTAGTTCATTTTATTACAGTAGAAATTTTATACTCATTCAGAAACTTCATGCTGGAGAAAAATGAGACTATCTGGAACCCTGCCTATTTAACGTATCTTATAACATAACTATGTATTTTTTAATATTACAAATGTAGGTATATTTTTCTTTGTTCTGTCTTCTCCATTTTGTAATGAGTCATACAGAGTTTAGGACATGAATATCAGAAATATGTACAGTGTGCTATCTGGTTAGTCTACATTGCCCATATACTTCATACTTTTCTGATTGAACTGATTGCTAATCTACTTTTTCTATCCATCCTAATGTTATCTATCTAGTTCCTCAGCCAGCTATGCTGACTGGGGAATTCTGGAGTTCACGTCTACAAGTCTTAAAGTTGCCAAGTTTGGAGACCCCTGAACAGAGCTCCTGATATGTTGGGGTTTTGATTTTTATCTCTTATCAGTTAGAAATGCTGATAAATGTAACATACCTAGATACAATAGTACCAGAAATGTAACATGATATATCTAGATACAATAGTATCAGATTGGGATAGGATGCCTTCAGTTTCTATTATCTGGAGGCTGTAATGGATAAAAGATCAATGGAAGATTTGAAGAAGATAAAATTGCTTAGGTTAGGTAATCTTGAATTATCATATTATTTCTAAAAAATTGTCATAGCAGACTTCTACCTAGCCATATATTTTATAATTTGCCTTGGGGGCATGTGGAGATTTGAAACATACTGTGAATAAAATACTAAGACATACATAATTGTAAGTGGGATTCCAGTATGTAAGAGTAGAATTAGCATCATGACACAACTTTATCCATATTATTTTAAGACAGTCTCAATTTGCTGTGGGTATCTGGGTAAATCCTATTAAACTTTTATTCAAATTTATATGGCCACCTATCTAACAAAAAGTGACTCTGGGTAGCATACAATAACTATTCATATTCATAATTATTTCAATTCAATATAGCTTTCTTCTAAAGTTAAATTTTTATTTGGAAGAACCATCATACAATTGTCAAAATATATTTAAAAATTATTAGTTGGTTTATTTTAGTTAGGGTTGCCAACTCTTCCCTTTGACACACAATTTTTTTTCTAAGCAGAAGTGTAGACCGTACACTTAATCTTCATTTCTCTTGGGAAATTGTGCTTACTGGGTCAGCAGCTAGGGGAATAGAGTCATTAGTTTTGACTTGCAAGAGATAGCTTTATAAACTGTAACTGTTTTTGGAAAAGGTTTTGTTTTTTAAATTAAACATTTTAATTTTAATATGTGCAGCTAAAATATAGAACAGGTATTTCATTTACTGCTTTATAAAGTAAATCAGATATATGAATTACCTATAAAGTAACATTTTAATCTGATGATTCATTAATTCCCTTACTATTCAAATTCTTAAGCTAAAATGAAAAAGATGACATTATTTAAAAAGTTGAACTGTGCTTAATATGACTCACAGTTTCTATACATAGGAGGTATAGCAATATACAGTAATTCCTCAATAAATTTAAAAATGGTACTGTATGAGAAACAAATCAAACAATGTAATAGATTTTTAATGTATGTAATAGGAATAGGCTGTAATAGCAGATTACTAAATTTAATATAATGCAGATGTATATGAGTACATGTTTCATTATCACGTCTGAAAACTAATTGTTGTAACCTTTTTATCCTTTTTATTACCTGGTTATTGTCAAAGTCAGAAAAAATGTAATATTATATGCCTTAGAATTTTCAGAAAAGGCTTTATTTACTATAACTTTATTTTGATTAACAGTGGCCAAGCAACTTCTTGCATATAATTGCAATTTTAAGACCTGGATATAATCCACATTGAAGAATATACTGTAGTTTAAACAGTGTAGGTTAATTAACTTGCATTAATTTAATTTTCTGCAGTTCTACTAGTCATAATGAGGAAGATGAAACTAGATAGAACAGTGAAGTCCTACTCGTCCCCTAAAGGAGCTTTTCTGGGTGCTCCCTTTCCTGTTCTTTCAAAGGATTAAATGGTGTGTTCGTGTATATTTTAATAGAAGCTTAAATATCAGAAAATTGAATTCTTGAACAGAAGTCACAAATGGTTGTTGAATATTTTTAATTGTGTGGTTAGTATGTATGTTTGATTAGTCCTGTTCCCTGGGGTGAGGCAGACCCTCATTCTTCTTGGGGTCTTCTGGCTCTGTCAACTAGCATGGAAATCCAGTTGTGGTTTGTGACCCCTGGGGGTGGTTTATTTATTTGTTCAATTTCTATGGTTACCCATCACAGTCAATGACTTTGGCTAGTTTACAATTCAGAAAATATATTATGATTAAAACATTTTAAAACAAAAACAGTAAAACCAGTGAAAAACATTAAAAATATCCAATTCAACACACATAAGAGCAAGATATTTGGGCATTTAACAGTATAGACAGGAAACGGGCCTTTGGCACATTTAGTGCTCCAGGCTCAGGAACATAGCCAGGTTTTTAGGACCTTACAAAAGGCTGGCAGGGTTGGGACAGTTCTGATCTCCAAAGGCAGGATGTTCCATAGAGAGGGCCAGTGCAGAAAAAGCTCACCTCCTGGTCCCTGTCAGCCAACATTCCTTGTCTGATGGGACCTGCAGCACACCCATTTTGTTTGACTGGTTGGACGGGTAGAGACTCTTGGAAAAAGGCGATCCCTCAGGTACCCCAATCCCAAGCCAATTTGGGCTTTGTAGGTAACCACCAGCACTTTGAATTGCACCCCAAAACATATCAGTAACCAATGCAGTGCAGGTTGGTAGGTTGAGGGTGTTCCATTCATCCTTTTAAGTTTAACTGTCTACATTTGTATGAATGTTTTTTATTTGTTAACCACTGAGTCATTTAGTGTGATGGGTGATGTATAAATTTGAATAATAAATAAAAGTCAATGATACACTCTGAAATTCCCATAAATAAAATCCCTTGATTTAAGTAATGCTTTACAGTTTTTTTGTTTTCTGAATCAGAATGGCATTGACAGTCAAGAACATTTATCTTTTTGAATTTGGAGTAATTAAAATATGAAGGAAATGTAGCAAGTCCTTTTACATCGATTTACCATTGTTTCCAAGGCATTTAATGCTGAGGTACTATTTTGCTATAGTTAATTACTTGTACTGTGCAATTTTTTTGAAGTTTAAAGAGGCTTCTTCAAATAGTTGAATTTTTTTTAATTGCTTGATTTGACTTGCTTTAGTTTTATTCATCCAGTTTTGAAAAGAGGCAATAGAGTGATGACAGTTTTTAGGTTATGGTTAACTACACATATTAATTATTTTATTAATTATTTCAATATATTTCTTGGTTGTTATAGTGAATAGCTGTATGGGGCTGCTGATCTGAAGAAAGATTCAACTGGTTTATAAAGACAACAAGAGATATGAAGCCAGCGGTCTAGAGTTTAAACTCAGAATTAATAAATGACTCCCTTTTTCTTCTAAGGAACCCTGAGGACTTTGCAATATGAATAATTCTTTGGAGAACACAATTTCCTTTGAAGAATACATCCGTGTGAAAGCACGAACGATCCCCCAACATAGGATGAAGGAATTCCTGGACTCCCTGGCCTCCAAGGGCCCTGAAGCCCTACAGGAATTTCAGCAGACAGCTGCTACCACAACCATGGTATATCAACAAGGAGGCAACTGCATTTATACAGACAGCACGGAAGTGGCTGGATCTTTGCTTGAACTTGCCTGTCCTGTTACAACTAGTGTCCAGCAACAGACCCAACAAGAGCAACAAATACAAGTGCAACAACCCCAACAAGTGCAGGTAATGTTAACATTGCATGTCTGTGGAGATTCTCAATCATCCAGGTCATGGTGGTCCCAGAGATGCATCTCTGGACTTTCTTGGTTTTTTCCTTAACATTTCACTTCTCATTTAAGATGCTTCTTCAGAGAGGGAGAGAAATATGGAAATATAAAGCATTGTTTTGTGACGGTTTTTAAATTGTAAGATTCCAGTTGCATTATGTATAGGACACATGAGTAAGTTGGAGAACATTCTGTTTGCTAGTGATAAGAATTGTAATTCGAAAATATGTTCTTCTACCCAGATAGTGTTAGAACTGCTTTCATTTAACTTGCTTCAAAGGACATTTACAATAGAAATAGAAATCACAGAATATGTAGGTGCCCTTGACATTTACTTAAAACCAACAATACCTAGGCATAGCACTGCTTGTATTCTTCCTACAGTACTACAGAGAATTCTGATTATAGTTGTGCTGCCTTTTTTGGATACTACTGAAGTACCAGAAAAGTAGCTACTGTGTAGCATTGATAATAGTAATGTAAGGTTTTTTTTGCTGTACAATACTGTATAATACAGTACAAAGAAAAAAGTAGTAAAGATTGTATTTGCAGGCAGTGGCAAACTGGATATAAGGATGGTCCATATAGGTTGATTATTGCCAGCTGACTTTTATTGTCAATGGCCATAGATCAGGGGTCCCCAACCCCTGGGCTGTGGCTCACTACTGGGCAGTGGCCTATTTGAAATTAGGCCACATGAGTGGCTGGCATGCGTGTGCGCGTACAACTTAACTTGCATGAGCGGTGGGCCTGCGGGCGACTTGCATGCATTGCCCCAGCCTGCCACTCGTGTAAGTCAAGTTGCCCACTTACGTGGCACAGGTCTCCTCTCCCCCCCCCTCAGCCAGGCCACCAAACTGCAAAGGTTGGGGACTGCTGCCATAGATTGCACATCTAGCAGTTTAATTTGTGATTTATTTCACATTCATGTAAATGAAGACTGTTGGCTTGTTTTTCTAAGGAAGTTACAGTCCTCAACCATACTTCTTTTTTGCTTATCACTGTCTTATTAATATAAGTCAAAGTATTTTGATTTAGCGATGCCTATGGATGCGGCTTAGGCACCAAATACAGCTCCCTTCAGATATCCTGTCTTAAGTTTGCAGTTGAGTGTTATGGATAAAATTGAGTGACCTCACTTTGAGGTTTCCTTTTATTCAGATGAAAGAGCTTTAATAAAGCTAGAAATAAATTTCTTTTGATTAACAAGTTGAGATTCCTAAGACATCTGTAGGTTGCTGAAAGACTTGTATGTTAATAAGTCATGGTACCACTGAGGACTAGCCTCAACTCTATAAGGTAAACATTGGATTTCTACATGAAAATAAAATTTAAATGTGCAAGTAAGAATTTGCAAATCCTAATGTTTAAAATGAAGTATTCATAATTGAATACTAAATGTCTATATTCTATTAGAATTCATAGTTCATATAAGTATATTTAAATATACATAAATTTATATTATATAAAATTATACATTATATTAAATTATACAGTATAAATACAGGATTTATATACACATTTCTCATTGCTTATAGATTGCAGGATTTAAAAAAGAACTCAAATTTTGTTTTGAACAGTATTCACAATTAAAGAAAAACGAGAAGCTGCTGTGTTTTGAAAGATTAGAGAAATGTATAACGTTTTTCCTTTATGATATAGATTTGTAGAAAACATTTTAACTAGCTCATAAAATAGTTCATATGAACAAATAGCATGCTCTCCTTGTTTGATTATTAAGCACACTGAATTAATGCAAAAGGAAATATTTGAATTTACACTACTTTCAGTGTTCTGTAATGATGCATTTAATGCTTTCTTAATGTCGCCATCAAAGAGTAAGAATGCAGATATGAACAATTCTTATGGCTAGCTTTCTCTCCTTACATTTAGGTACGGCTTAAATGTGCCATCAGTTTTTACTTCTTTTCTATCATGTACACCAGGATAACATTGCCGCATATGTTGATACAGTCTAATATCCATGTGAGAGAGGGAGCTTAATTGTTGCTAAATTGTTTTTGTTTGAACACTGAAGTGGCTGAAAGCTAATCGGGCAAGAACAACTTAGTGTTTACACACACACACACACACCTTAATTCCCTGCCCTTTTGGCTTTTGGGGGGGTATATACGATCAACTTAATTCCCTGCCCAAAAATAAGCCAAAAGGGGAAAATGATATATATCACATATTCATCAAATGTCAATGTTCCTAAATTACATGTTTTTTTAAAAGTATGATTTTCTAACATTACATTATTAATTTTGGGATTAATAATAAAATTGCCTTTATAAAATAATAAGTTATCCATCCTTGAATATATAAATTCAAGAATAAGAATATTACTGTTTTTCCAGTACATGCCGGATTTAACCATAACCATAACCTCTCAAAGATAGTTTGAGTCCAAAGTTTGGGAATATAACATTAACATCTTTTTAAAAAATCTTCATAAATCTACATTAAAATACTATTTAAAAATGCTAGTGATTTTTAAGATCAAATCAGTAATCCTCCAAAGTTTTTACATTGTCAAAGACAATTCTAATATAATGATGTTTATGCACATTCAACCAAGTGTTTTTGGTGTATTTCTAAACAAGTTTTCTGCTCAGAGTGCTTACTGTTTTTAAAGTCCTCAGAGGAGTGTTTGAAGAAAAAAAATTTGTGTGTGTGTGTGATATTTTAAATGTTAAGGATCAAATGGATTGTTTTTGAGCTGTGATTCTTGGTCAATGAGATGCTCATCTTGCACTGAGGTTGGGGTGGTGGTGGTCTTGTATTTTTTCCCTTTGAGATTCTACCAAGATGTATTAACCATTTTTTTCATTATGGATACCCTCATGTAGCTGCCCAGCTGATTTGGGGCTTATTTAAGTCCTAATCCTGGTTTATTCATTTATTTGACTTGATATGCTTCCAACCCCTAAAGTGTCTCAGGGATTTTGGAGTTGATGCCCTAACTGCTCATGTGTTGCTTTTGCAGGTGCAGGTTCAAGTTCAGCAGTCCCCTCAATCTGTGTCCACCCAGCAGCTCTCTCCACAGCTCACTGTTCACCCGGCCTCAGAGCAGCCAATACAAGTCCAAGTGCAGATCCAAGGCCAAACACAGCAGCAAGCATCCCAGACAATACAAGGTCAGGCCCTTCAGAGTCCCAGCCCTTCTCAGTTACAGGCGGCTCAGATCCAGGTGCAGCATGTGCAGACTGCTCAGCAAATCCAGGGTGCAGAAATACAGGAGGAACACATACAGCATCAGCAGATCCAGGCCCAACTCGTGGCAGGACAGGCTATTGCTGGAGGACAGCAAATCCAAATTCAGACAGTTGGAGCACTTTCCCCTCCTCCATCTCAACAAGGTTCACCCCGGGAAGGCGAACGAAGGATCAGCACCGCCAGCGTCCTTCAACCAGTAAAGAAGCGCAAAGTGGATATGCCTATTACTGTGTCATACGCCATTTCAGGGCAGCCGGTGGCTACAGTTCTGACCATCCCCCAGGGCCAGCAGCAGAGTTATGTGTCCTTAAGGCCGGACTTGTTAACGGTGGATAGTGCCCACCTGTACAGTGCCACTGGGACCATAACTAGTCCCACTGGGGAGACTTGGACAATCCCGGTTTATTCTGCCCAGCCACGTGGTGACCTGCAGCAGCAAAACATTACCCACATTGCCATTCCTCAGGAGGCCTACAATGCCGTCCATGTTAGTGGCTCCCCAACAACTTTGGCCACTGTGAAGCTAGAAGATGATAAGGATAAGATGATAGGAGGTGCATCGGTAGTGAAAAACTCTCATGAGGAGGTAGTGCAAACTCTTGCCAATTCCCTTTTCCCAGCACAGTTTATGAATGGCAATATCCACATTCCAGTGGCAGTGCAAGCAGTGGCAGGGACCTACCAGAATACAGCACAGACGGTTCATATATGGGACCCACAGCAGCAGCAGTCCACATCACAGGAGCAGGCACAGCAGCAGCAGCAACAGCAACAATTGCAAGTTACTTGCTCTGTAAGTAAGCTGTACTTATGAGGCAAGTGTCTGTAGGGTTGAATAACTGAATACGGGCAGGATTGTCTGTCATATCTCTAAAAGATAACGGTTTTAAAGGGAAGACTTGTCTACTTACTGTATTCTGAATACTTACATTCTGTGCTTTTATATTTGTATCCAAGCTTTAAATGCTGTTCTTCAAGAACGTCAATGGGAATATAATTATTGAAATGCTTTTGTCCAAATTGTTGTGCGGCCATGCTTGGAATACCGCAGGAAAAAAATAACATCAAAATTAATAAGGAATTGGAGTCCATTGGAAAGGTTGCAAAGGTTGAGAACTTTTGCCTTGGGAAAATGGAATAAATGGGGCCAGGGAAAATTACTGAAGCACATACCATTTTACATGATACGAAGGAAATAAATGGGGGTGGGGAGAGGGAAATTGCCCCCTTATAGTGCTTGATCATCCAATGAAGCTGAATGGTGGGAGATTTAGGGCAGATAGATGGAAGTGCCATTCCATACCACATACATATATCTTGTGCATTCAGGGTCACAAACTTTAACAATGACAGCCAATTTAGATAGCTTTGACTGATTATGTTCCATCGGGTCATGTCAACTCTTAGTGACTACATAGATAGATTTACTATATGACACTGTCCCACACCTGGTCTTTCAAGTTTTCCAACTGTAGAGGACTTAAGAAAGCTAGGAAAGGAGTAAGCTGAGAGCACCCATTTACACCATCATTTGCTTCTCTTGTTGACTTTTCTTCTTAGATTGTGTGTTTTGGGAATTAGAATGATAGTTGTGATCTGTAAGTATGAGTCAGCATGGCTTATGAATTTCTC